TTGTTCGGGACGATAGATCTCCAAAACTCATATTTTGTAAATTTACCTTGTGGAGCTCGTATGCAGATGTATACGTGGGCATTTCTTACCACCCACGCACATAGTCGATTAACGAACTTATCGATTAAATATTTAAAAGCTCCATGGCAATATCGATTATATATATTTGTATATATACGTTTTTAAGTTGTGTTTGTTGGTGATCCCTCGCTTTCTGGCTGTTGCAGAATATACTTTTCCCATTCCAAGCTTGAACTTCTTCCTCTAGATAGCGGGGCTGGGACGATATCAATAGCTAGCTTACTGGTCTTTGGTCACCGAGTCTTGTTTCTCGTTCGCAGATTAAGTGAACTCGTGATAGGTTCAAACCTAGCACATATGTAATTAGTCTATGTGTAGTAGAAGCTATCGTGTTTTTAGTCTGGTTATAAAAGACCGAGTTCAAATGTGTCAGTGAGAGTGCTTCTCCCAATGCTCGTGGGACGCGGCCCCTTCGAGCTGAGGATCCTTGAAGGCACTGTGTTCGAGCGTCTTTGTCTAAATGATTTCTGACACCCAGTGAAAACACAATATTAATAATACTGAAGTTCATTATAGTTAGCGTCACTCTCATGAGATTCCGACGTCGGTAGCTTGAATAACATCGCAGCCTCTCTCGGTCCAGTTAGTATTTCTCGATGCTGGAACTGGGCGGAAAAAGCGGAGAGGTGATCAGCTTGTGCCATGACTCCGTATTATGCATGGAAGGAAGCGGTATGGAACTACTTCCTGTCGGTCCATTACGACTCCCCAGTTTGTGTACTGGAGATACTACAACTCAGTCGCTCCAAACATGGTCAGATTAGAAGCCAGGGGCGAACCTGATGTAGTTCTCTTTTACATCCTTCACAAAAGTGAGAGGAACTACCGTATTTGAAATAAGTCTTTCTTGGTCGTGTTTCTATTTGAACTGTATTTTTCTTGATTGTACTTCCTTTTCCTTCCTTATTTCGCATCGCGCAAACTGTTCTCAGTGCCCATTTTTATCAGGTTTTATGTTAAACATGTTAGTAAAATCCGTATATTGACTATGTAGTTTGCATATTTTATTCCGACATAAAAGAGAAGCTTATCCTTACAATTTTGTCGGTACCGTATAAATAACTAGATTAATTTCAATTTATGCAGATGTCAAAGCATCGGTCACCTTGTTCTGCCTATATATCTAGTTGAAATAATTTATTCATACACCTGTCAGCTTTTTCCACGAATGTGAGGCTGAAATTATTTGGACATATACTAAATTTCGGAAGACAAAGTGTTTAGGTGGTTATAATTTGGTCGATCGACCTAAATGAAACTCAGTTCTGGAGACCATGTGGTTTTCCATCCTCTTCTATAATCAACTTTGTTTTTTGCAATTTTTCCTATCTTCGTTCTATTTCGTCGAGTTTACTCACTTGAGTACTATGCTATGCATGAACTCAACTATTAAATTACTATAATATCCACAACGTTTATTGTGATACGAAAATTTATGAATAACTTCTTTATTCAACCCAAAATAACTCTTTTTGATGACCATACTTAAATCTTCGATTTTAATCTGCTCTCGGTTCGTAAATTCAGGTCGCGTTGGTCATACATGTCAGTTTTTCGCGTGGGTGGTACACATCTCCCTTTACGTAGCTATTACTGCCTGTCTCATACTAACCTCAAGCAAATTTAAACCAATCATATTTCGTATTGTTATGCGGTCATATGGTTGTCATAGTGACGATCGGCGATTATTTGGGAAACTGCCGTAGGAATGCTGTAATAAACTATCGTCATAGACAGGCATGAGCATTGTAAATCGATATAACTCCCTAGCCGTTATTTGTGGCTGTTTCTCTCACTAACTAATTGTATATGACTAGAAAGCGTATTATGTATTTCATGCAATCGGCAAAGTACCTTTATAAAATCAATTGTGACTTGTCCAAACATTTGCAACCTATACGTGTACACATTGCTTGTTTTAGCGAATTTGTAACTTGAAAACGTTGCCAATTTGTGCTGATGATGTTTGACGTTCGACACACGGCACAGAAAATATAATCCAAGAGGTCCTTCGCACAAAAATTGAAATCGTTGTAAGTAAACAGAAGAGATTTATTTATTTACCCACATAAACGTTGGTACAACGAGGCACCAAATAGATATGCGCCTCAAAATCAATTAGTTTGTGTGAGGGCTGTAGTACTGCCCGAACGTCCAGACCTAAGCAGGTGATTTTCTTAGGGGGCCACATCTGGAGCCTATGAAATAAGGGTTTGGTCCACAAAGCAGTAGAGCAACGTCAGGAGATGCAGTCCCATGTTAGCTGATGACCAACAATTAGTTAATACGCCACTTATTCCTTCAGGATCCTGGAGCCCATGTGCACCATTGGTTTGTAATCAGGGTTTTACAACTCTCCTAGGTGAACCCTCCATATCCACCAACCCGGTTAGAGCGCCGGACATTCGCTTTTCGTTCTCTCAATTTCGTAAACAACAGTAATGCTGTGGTAAGGCAGCGAGTAGGACTTCCATGGCAATGGTTGTATGCACGTGTTCTAGAGGGACAGCTGACTCGCCACCCTCGGCCTTATCAAGGCTTTCGGGGGCATATGAATCATACCAATCAATTACAAGTAACTAAAAGTATCTGTTTGCAGATAAGACTCTCATTACTGACCTAATTAGAGACTTTCTAAACGTTGTGATATATAATATTCGCCTTACCTTTACAATCACGAATGTTGGTCGAGTTAACCAACACTTTCATTAGATTCTCAATACAAGAGCGACCCTTCTTGACATCCCTTCATTGTTGGTAAGAAGAGCGTCTAGATGTCCAAAACAGGTTAAAAGTTAATGGCTCTTAAAAGCTTGCACATTAGGTAAATGATATTGTTATCAGAAATCTATCTTTTCCAGTGAGTGAGAACGAAGGTTTGTTTTTAACGACGTTTCATTATCTAATACCAATAGCTTTGTCAAAGTAATAATCTGTTACTTTGGTACATTTTTTGTCTTTTCATTGAACAACAAGAAATTATAAGTGGCGAAAAGTTTTATTGATAGAAAATAATCCCGTAGACCACGATAAGCTAAACTCCATGAATTAGAAGACTCGTAAATAATCATCGGGCTGTGGTGAAATGAAGCATTTCCTGACCATGGAGTGTTTTCCGTAGATGCTGTAGTTTGAAATGCAACGATTTGGCACTTAAGTTAATCTATGAGATTCTTGGTGTACTTGTCACTGAAGTTGTCGTTTGTGATAACTGTGGGCGATTGTTTGAACTTTTGGGAATGTTGACTAGCCAGGAATCTCTGCATCCGTTTCGTTTGTATTTGGGGCATTAGGACCTACAATTAAGAAACAATGACTTGAACCTGTTAAAAAACGCCGGATAATGGAATAAACTATTAACGTTAAATGAGTCTGTCTATCGTTTTAGTCTGGTACTAGTGTCTACATTCCTTTAGTGGCTTAGCGGAAAGGTTCCTAGCTTGTTTGGTCTACCTTTGTGTCCTATTGTTGCTAATTCGTTTATATTCGGCCCAAAAGTACAGTTTCACATTTAGCGTTGAGAGCTATGTTACATATAACTTAGCTGCCTGAAGATTTTAAGAAACCATACGAGCGGAATCGCTTTCGCCTAAAACATCCAGAATCAAGAGGTTATCAACTAGGATTTCTACATTAGCGATCATCCAATCTAGACATAAGGGTGCTTGGCTGTTCTCATTGATCCGCTGACCCCACGTTCCCGGATAATCCTAGCTTTATAAGGTTAAATTATTAAGCTTAAATAAAGTCATTTTCTCAACTGTACTTGTGTTAAGCGAAGTTGACTGTTTGAATGTAAAAGTTTCCTTAACGAATAAACATGAAGCCAAGACAAACAGTGAGTTTTATTTAATAGTTTTAACCTTAATACACGAACATTGAGCAGTTGAGTCGAACCTTGGATAATCTATATGATGTCATCAAGTTATTAATGCACAATACAATGAACAATATATTCAAATTCAATCAAATATTGTATTGTACTATGCAGAATAACAAATTCCTGTTTGTGTGACTGATTACCCATTATAATCGATTACTAATTATAATAAAGAGAATTCAGCAAAGGAAATTTTCTCTTTTCGACGGAATAATTTACTTCAGCTTTAAATTTGTATTTATAATTATATGTGTCTATAAAAGAATAGAAAAGATTACATCATAAATTGATTCGAGACACTCAAAATATTCTTGCAGATGCTGACTCAACACAGGTAACCTTCATTATGTGTCATTCTAAAAAATTAGCCTCCTCTTCACGCTTCCCTCACAGTTTCATCGTTAGTAAATTTTATCAGTATCGAAACCTCTAGAATGATCAGTATTTCTGCCTGTCTTAGTTTTTGTAACCAGAGTTTTGATATGCAATCATTTATTAAAAGCTGACCTCTACTATCAGTACAATAAAATACAGTCAGATGTTGGCGTGGATATGCGACACTTTATTAGGGTGCTATGATTCTTATATCTAGAGATGTTATGATTTTACCTTCATGTCAGTTGTTTAAAAATTTTGATAAACACTTTAGACCTACATTTTATATTTGTTCACACTCTTTATCAAAACCTATGTGAATCAGTAAGGAAACTCATGTTTTCCGGTACCACAGTCAAATACCTACAGCTCTGTCGTATCTTCTACATATTTGAATCTGACAGTTATAAGACCAATAATCAAGGCAAAGAGAGATGCAATCAAAATATAGAGGTAGAAAATAGCAGGTTAAAGGTCAACAATAATCAATCAAAATCGAGATCGACAGGAAAATCTGTGACTCAGCTCGAAGAACAAAACTCCACGTGAGCTAATAATCTCCATCTTAAAACTCATTCTTTGTTTCATAGGTTCTCATGATCAGATTTTCATAAGTTCTTATATTTCCTATTGTTCTTTACGCCTTTTTGTTGGTTCGTTTTAGCATTTGTGGTCTATAGTTTTCTAAGTTTGTGTTATGAATATCTCGGTGGAGAAAGTTGCATTCTGTCGGAAATTCGTGGTCGTGAGTTACCGTAAGTTAATAATTGAGAATTTGAAATATTCCCATAATGTAAATTTAGAACAACATATATAAGCGAACAATATTGTTTTCGATTAGATCCTCATCAGGCTTTACTCTAATATATGCAAATATGTTTTGTGCAAATGTTCGTGTCATTGTCTGAGTGCATATTCCAAAGTAGGGAGTCGAGCATTCAATGTGAAGTCCAGTGGTTGGAAGTTGACTATTCCAATTACAAGGCCACCTCATCACATTTCAGTGGGATAATTTTCGCCCTGAATTCCCTGGTTTAAATGTTATTCAGTTGTGAAGCATTCATAGAAGTGACAGTGTTTTATCTTGTGAATAACTAATGGTGTTGATCCCAATATTAATATCTTTGTGTTTTAGTTAAGATACAAGAATATACGACAGTTTATAATCAGTTTTTTCGAAATCCATCCCTTAATGGTTAAAAAAATGTATTTAGAATCTTTTCACTACTACCTAATTCAGTTCAACCAAGTCGTGTAGTATCGCTAGCTCTAACACAAAACCGTTAGTTAAGGACTCATCGAAACCCTAGAACCATGATTTAGTAAGTGTAAATATTATTATGTGAAGTACACAACTATAGTTAAAAATTTGTTTCCGTTGATATTTGATTGGAAACAAAGTAATAATTTTAGAAAGCAAATATTACTTCTGCTTCATCCATTTACGCTTGATGACGTAGACCCGTCCTTTTTTCATCTTATATGAAGAAAGAGTCATAATTTATCCTAAGATGATAAAAAAAACAAATATTGGTCAGGCCAATAAACTGGTTGTTTATAAATGTGGTCTAAAGACATTGATTATTAAACTAACGTGTGTCACGAGGCATGAACCTCCTGACTGAGGCACACCTGACAACCACGATCAGTGGTCGAAAACCTCAGGTGGTGACGTGGCTCGAAATCGGTTGCGGAGAAATAAATGTCCTCGTTAAATATTCAGTTCTAATATTATTCCATACTTTGATTAATCGGTTCCATCTGGTCTTTTCAAACTATATTCCCCAGTTTTAGTTTGTCTTTCACTAACAGACATTAATGTTACTTCTACTTCTCTGAAATACATCGTATTAATTTTCTCTAAATGTCTTTATGTGAAGTGTTACAACGTTGTTCAATTCACATTTGTGCAACTCCAGACGACGGTATTTGTGTATGAGTAACTTTTAAATGCTTTATTTTACATTTGACTTGTTAAATACTTGTTAATGGAACGAAACGATAGTCACTAACACAACACCAGGACATGCTAAGCTACTCCACTGCACTCCAGCCCTGCCAACTAGGGGGAGAAGATCATATTCATCTATAAGCAGTCGGAAGCACGAATGAACAAGCACACAACTTATGCATATATATACAGTTCGGAAATGTCCTTGGAAAAATTCACAAATTAGCGTACTAAAAAAGAGGGAACGAACCAATGACACTTAAGATCCTTCCAAGTGGGAAATACAAACTGAAGGTAAAAGTGGGCACTTTTGGCGCGAAAATGAGAAATTTAAATTTTGAAAATGAAGTAACAAAGATATGACGTTTACCAAGTGATTTCTGGGGATCTAGCATCCAGAAAAATTACTGAGTTAGGCATTTCTGTTGTTCCAGTCTTTTATCATTCTCTTTCATCAAGGAGTGTCTGGAACATATGTGCCTCAAATACTTTCATATTCGACTTCTTACACTTACATACTTATTAACTCAATATATGTGAATTGCGCAAGATGATATACTTAGTTACCACAGTATCATTTAATCATTGTGCAGTCAGACAACGAACCTAAAAGGCGAGACATTAGATTGTTTATCGTAACAACCCAATCGGCTTTTTGTATTAAGAATGATCGTAATCAGTGTGGAACATATTTTGAATTATTTATGAAATACATATATGTTTATCTTATTCGTGCGAAACTAATAAGTAAACTTAGTTAAGTCAACCTTTTCCCTGTCACTAATTCTTTCACACATTTTTTTAGACGATCATGGGGATATTGTACTTGTTGCTTTTATAATCAAACGTATACAATTGAATTTCTGCGATTTTGCAAACAGGTATGATTCTTAATAAATTTAATTTTGGATTCATTATAACCTCATACGTCTTTTTGAGAGTGTAAAATAGGTATAGAGGGAAATGAAAATTGACAGAATAACAGTATTAAATAGAGGGAATATAATAACTTGAATAACGAATTATTATTTTTTTAGCCTTAGCACACTCAACTTTTTTATGCACTTGTTTACATTAAATCTATACATATACGTTGATCAAGGGAAAAAATGAGAAGGCAAGGAGTTGTGTGTTGAGTTTTCGTTTGTTTTCTAGCTGAAACTTCAGTTTGTGATGAAAAGTCTTCAAATTGAAAATACCTAATTAAATAGTCACCCAATTATCAATAATGACCGAATTGGAATGTGGGTTTTTCAAAGGTTAGTAGCCGATCATTCACCTTTCAATAAATAACGTCGTCTGAAGTTGCACAAATGTGAATTGACCAACGTTGTAACACTTCACATAAAGACATTTAGAGAAAATTAATACGATGTATTTCAGAGAAGTAGAAGTAACATTAATGTCTGTTAGTGAAAGACAAACTAAAACTGGGGAATATAGTTTGAAAAGACCAGATGGAACCGATTAATCAAAGTATGGAATAATATTAGAACTGAATATTTAACGTAATATAAGGAATTAGGAGTAGAACTCCAATTAATCGAGAGAGAGAGTGTCGGCTTGACCGATAGTATTTGTCGACTGATACTTGATATTGAAATCATAGCTCAAGAGCATTGTTGCCCAGCGCTGTAATCTATTAGCCGTATAGACAGGGATTCCTTTCTTAGATCCAAAGATTGCAATCAAAGGTTTGTGGTCTGTCAGTAGAGTAAACGTACGACTATAGAGAATTTTATGAGATATTTTGACAGAAGCTTTGAGCTGAGCATTGATTTGACTCTGTCGAAAGATGCTTGACATTCTGCTGACTACTTCCAAGGTTTATCTTTTGATAGTAATTCATTCAGGGAACCTCTCACTCGATGTATTTCAGGCACGAATATGCTGTATCAACTGATTAACCATAAGAAGAAGCTTAATGAAGGGACATCAGTTGGTGCAGACATCCTCTGAATGGCTTCGATGTTGGTAGGGTCTGGTCGGCGACCGTTCTTATCTAAGTTGAAACCAAGGTATTTGATCGAATGCATGAAGAAGATACATTTTTCCCCACGTAGTTGGAAACCATACTCCAACACTCGGTTAAGGACTTGGTGTAGTCGATCAGAAAGTTCATTGTCTGTTGAACCCATAACTATGATATCATCTAGACAACCTGTTGTACCAGGTATACCTGTTAGCATCGTATCCATTATTTGCTGAAAGATGGCAAGTGTGATCTTGATGCCAAATGGTAGACAGGTGTATTGAAATAACCCTCGATGAGTGTTAATGGTCAGAAGCTCTCTGCTGTCTTCATCTACTTCCACTTGCAGACAGGCATCGGAGAAGTCTATTTTCGCGAAACATGTTCCACCATTAAGCTTGGCAAACAGGTCTTCAGGAACTGGTAACGAATACTGATATACATGTAATGCAGAATTCAAACCGGTTGAGAAATCTGCACATATGCGTATAGTTCCATTGGCCTTCTTAATCACTCCGATCGGCGCGGCGCATGCAGAGTAGTTGACTGGTTGGATTACATCAGCCTGTTGCAAGCGATTAAGTTCCTGATCGACTAGCTCAAGAGTAGCATATGGTATAGGACGTCTCGGACGAAAAATAGGTTTGGCTTCTGGTTTTAATGGTAAGTGTGCTTTCATCTTGGTACAATGGCCAAGGCTATTCTGAAAAACAGAAGCAAATTTTCTCTTCAGTTTTTCTAGTAACCTTTCACCTGTCTTCTTTGCAAGTACTGGGGTGTCTAATGATGAACACAATACGTTGCAGACACTGTTAATCGGTACATCCATTATTCCAAGTTTATCTAACATATCTAGACCAAGAAGATCAAGGTTTGGCCGTTCTGTTAGGTAACATATTCCTGTACAGTTAGTTCCATTGAAGGAAAATTCACACTGTAATTCACCAACCAGTTTTAGCACACCACCTGATGCGTTTTTGGCCGTTTTCTTAGATGGCTTCATTGGTGTGCATGTTCATTACTTCCCAACTTACGTACCAACAATCGAGTCTTCCACGCGTCGTCTTGTTTACAGGACTCTATTCTAAATGTATCTTCCCAACGTTTGAACCACGTGAGAAAAGTATTTCCACTTTGGGGGTGATAGATGAATTCTGGGATGCTGCTAGCAACTGCATCACAAGACGTACTTGAAATAGCATGTGAACTCGAGCAGTGGATGTTGAGCTGTTGAGTCAGAGTCTCCACGAACCTCATTTGTGCATGTAATTGTGATTGCTGTTGTTGTAGTATTCGGTCGAGCTGGTCATCTGATATGCACATCTTGATTTTTTTTCCTTTTTCTTCGTCGCCACTGTTATAATTCTCCCTTATTACAACCCAGCTATTCCTATTGCTTAGTATTCTTGGACACCAATTCACTCGACAAGTCCCCAAATCAGAACACGATTGAGCAGGAATGAGATTATATTCCAAACAACAAGGTTAGATGAAAGTGAGAAGCACAATAAGAAAACCGTTAGTATATTTGTAGTTTTTACATGAGAATATTCTCCAAGTATCGACTAGCGCTGATTGGATAAGAATTAGCTAAGCGGTGTGCAATCGTGCATTGAGCATAATTTAATCCAATCTATGTCCCTCTAACACCTGGCTGCCAGAACCAAAACAGTTAAAACACCGTTCGAACCTGTTACTCACTGGTTGAAAGTTTATTTGTTTGGTCAGTGTGTCACCTCTCAACTCTTAAACTATGGTAAACATTTCGATGGTTTCTTATTTCTGATGTCTTTCCAGTTGAAATGGAAACTTCCTTTTCTAGAGGTCATTCTTCTATGTGGAGTTATGTAAATTTAGAAAGATTTATTTAACAATTTAGGATCTCTAATTAATTCATTTTATGCTATCGATTTTCATAAATTTGTTAAATTCAGAAAACTAGTTTGAGGCTTTGCAATTTAGGAAATCTACTCAACTATATATTTATTTAATTCTTAATTTTTGTACTAAAACCACTCAAATTTTCTGTTGGTTGTAAATTAGTTGTAGTGTATTCCGAACAAGTATGATTTAATTCTTGTTACTTATCATCAATATTTCACTGGTTGAATCAATAGCTTACTAAGCATTTCACTGATGTTGTTTATTTTATGTTGTACAGTATATCATACTTTGTCCCATTTTTCTTTATTGTAAACTTTTCTGATAAGTATTGAAATGAAATTGACATGTATTTTTGTGGATAAGCAGAGCTTTTGGATCCTGAGTTTTTAATTATTCATTTTTATTTGTTTCATTAGGCAACTTTACAGTTTTGTGTGGTCAAACCGTTGACATCGATTGTAACTATTATTCTACAAGCTATTGGCGTATATAAACATGGAATTTTCAGGTAATTTAATCATTAATAACTGTAACGATTACATGATATGGGGACAGTTTTCGGATGCACGGTAGTAGTGGTTTTTTCATTTTGTGGTTGTAGCAATTATTGTCACTGATTTAGTTGTCTTATAGTGATAGAATTGAAACTCATTTCGACTTCATGCGTTGTAATAAAACCTAACTTCAAGTTAAAGATGTGTTATAACTTGTGGTCTGTGTGCCCTGTTAACGATACCGCCAATCAGAGAGCAGTGAATTATCGATCGGACTAATGACGCATAAACCGTACTAGCAGCCTAGACTCCTCATTGGTCCTTCTTTTCGCCTAGCCCAGCCGGTTAAATCCAGAATACCAATCTCAGCCTATGCAATATGAATCATTTATTTCAAGCATACTGGGTTTATATATCAACCAGACAGACCATAAAATATGAAACAACATTTGTACAAGTATTAGCTAAATGTGGCTGTGAATGTGGGAGATAGTAATTAATAGACAGAGCATAATTCAAGAATGATAAAACGTATAATAATAGTTCATAGGTCAAAATAAAGCTCATAACAAGAGGTACATGAATATGAACAGTTTAGTTATTTAACAATTATACGATAAAAATATACGCATATTATTCGTCCATGAATGGATCCCAAAAGTTATCATTCATTATGCTTATCGGGACCTAACAAGATGTAAACAGTTGTAGGGAGTCTAGGTTAGGTTTGTCATCTGGGGAGGATGTAACGATATAAACGATCTCAAGTCACTGACTGGTCGAAAGTTGGATGCTACCACCGAATACGAATACCGAAACAGTCTTTATGAAATCCCGTAAACCTTTTAAACTGCCCCCCCCAGAGTGCTTATATTCCTGCAGATCAATCAGACAACAGAGAGGGTCGGCTATGTCCTTAGAAAGTCTTAACATCGATGTCTGTTGTCTATCCGAGACTTGTATTCAAGACTAGGGAAGTACTACAAATTCCTATCGGTCACTTCGAAAAGCTTGTTTCACGTGCGTTTATCCGGGGACCTTGTGGCATCTTCGTTTGGTTTTGCTGGCGTTTGGTGTCATACTAAGCCCTAAAGCTGAGGCAACCCTGATCAACTTGATCCCCATTAATAGTCGGTTTTATGCTGTTAGATTAGAAAGTTCCATCAAAGTGAGAAGAAATCGGTGTGAGAAACGATGTCATTTAGTCATAGATGAGCAATCGTTGCAATTGCATGACTCCATGAAAATGGCGAGTAAACACTTGCAACTTCGCGAAACATCCTACTTATAAGCACTGAGTTTCTTCAGGCTCCTCACAACTCATTGAAGCCCATCAGCCTACTCCTGCTAACCGCAAGTTTGACGGTAAACGTAGATTCTTACGCAAATAAATTGTGTAAAACGTGCGTAAGTACTGAAAAGCCTGATGGTTGGAACGTGCTGACGAGATGAAAGCAGTAGCTGCACCTGGTGACTACCAGAAACTCTTTTAACTCATCCGAGTCACTAGCACTAAAAAATCTGGTATGAGTGAAGTAATCCGTAAACTCGATGGCATGTCTATTTATAACATCTATGGACGCCTTGGACGGTGGGCAGAATTTTTCAAGGATCAGTTAAGCTGGTCAGCTGCCCCGGCAACATCAATCAGATGGTATCGCCTTCCATGGTCTGTGACGACTGATCCACCCAACAAGGCGGAAGTCCGCAAGGAACTCCAACTCTTGAAACGCTACAAATCACCGGGCCCAGACGACTTACCTCCGGCTCTTTTTAAAGATGGTGGTGACTTTATGTCTAAGGAGCTGACGACGTTGTTTACAAAGGTCTGGGAACTAGAGAGTGTACCAACGTCATGGAATGAGTCGATAGTTGTCCCTATCTTTAAAAAGGGTTCACGTTGTTCCTGTAACAACTATCGGGGGATAAGTCTAATTCCGATTGCGTCCAAGCTATTGACTTCCGTCATACTTCGTAGGTTGTTCAAAACCCGAGAAGGATTGACTCGCGAGGAGCAGGCTGGTTTTCGTCCTGGTCGAGGATGTATTGATTATATCTTCACCCTCCGCCAAATGTTAGAACACCGTCATACTTATCAAAGGCCAACAATCGTAGTGTTTCTTGACATCAGGGCTGCCTTCGATTTGTTGAACAGAACTGTTCTCTGGGATTGTCTATTGAAGAAGGGTGTGCCTGAGAAGTCTATTAACTTCTTTAAGGCCCTATATACAAACACCTCAGGCAGAGTGAGGGCATACAACCACCTTTCTCCACTATTCCATTCAAGCAGTGGAGTTAGGCAGGGTTGCCCAATCTCACCATTCCTCTTCGACTTTGCCATCGATGACATTCTGGAAACAGCTCTGATGGATGTAAGTAATGGTGGTGTGGATCTGTTGCCTGGAGAAAGACTTCTCGACCTTGAGTATGCGGATGATATTGTCTTACTGTGCGAGAATGTTCAAGCCATGCAATCCGCACTTAATCAGTTGGCAACCAATGTCCGTAGGTATGGTATGTGCTTCGCACCTTCGAAGTGCAAAGTACTTCTACAAGACTGGCAGGATTCTAATCCTGTACTCAGTCTGGATGGTGAGCAGATAGAACTCGTCGAGAAGTTCGTGCATCTGGGTAGCTGCATAAGTGCTGGTGGTGACTTGAGTGATGAGATCAATGCACGTATAGTGAAAGCCAGAGTGGCTTATGCCAATGTGGGCCATCTTTGGCGCCTTCGTGACGTTAGTCTGGCTGTGAAAGTTCGGATCTACAATGCGTCGGTGAGAGTAGTTTTGCTCTATGCTTGTATCAGTAGGTATGGTATGTGCTTCGCACCCTGATCCTGCACTCACCCTGGGCAGTGAGCAGATAGGCTTTTGCTGGTCCTTCACTACTCCCTTGTTGTGGTCTTATAGATGGTGCACACAGTGGCTAGAGACGTTTTTAGATATGGCTCAGAATAGATGCCAGTGGCTATTCTGTTGTACCTTTCTTTTACTTTCTTCATAAAAAGTGAGCATAACTTCTTTTATTATATGCACTTTACATTCTCTATCTCTTCACAGCCACATTGTTATTGTGTAGCGCATATGTATCGATACCCCCTTGTATCAATGTTAAAGTGTTCAAATAAATCTGGGAGTCTGGACTATAAAGTAATATTTATTACTTATTGCATACTGATAACCAGTAAGTACTTAATCTCAATGTTAAGCTTGTGGCACTTGCCATTTTACGTGGAGCATTGGGAAGAACTTGTGTTCACTCAAAGATTTTTTCGGAGCTGGAATACAAATCGCTATTCGTTCGATGGCTAATTTTTTTAGATTTTTCTTTCGAGCTCTTTCGGTCAAACAGGCAGTTCTTGTTCTATTTTGGGAATTTGTTAACTCATTTGGTAACTCATATCAGAAAGTGTACCACAGTTTTGAACTTTGGTAGAACACCATCATTTCGAAACAGCACGATTTGTAAATTAGTTTTATTTGTTTCCCTTTTATTGTTATCTATCTATCCTATCCTTTCATTATTACTATCTTGCTAAACATGGTTCCCATGCGTCAGTTTCATTGGTTTGCCTAAACAGCTAGTAACTATCACTTTGTACTAATCCCTTATCTACCTTGTTTATCTTATCGTCCACTATTATAACGTTCAAGGATAAGAAACTTCCATCTCCACCATCTTTACAAGTGCTATTTTCTGGATCAATTTTGACGACGTCCTAAGTCGGTTTTAAAATTACGTTTACACGTCTACTTCATCTGTTACAACTTTCGTGCTGCATTACTTACCTTCCATTAGGTTTCCTGTTATTTTCAAACTTCATTAAACGTTTATATATTTTCAGAACAGACATTTTTTAAATCGAGACTTTTAATGATAATTAAGACTCGGTCGTAATCATCATCTAACCGATAAATAATCGAATCTCAAGAAATTGCTACTAGGAAGGGACTAATAGTAGCCTAATTATAGTGTAATCTATTTGTGTCTATAGTTAGCCCGATATTGGTGGTCGCTAAACAAAACAATATTGTTTGATTTTTACTATTCTGAGCTCATGATTAGAGCAGAAATACAATTTGTGTTATTGGTTTCATGTTTGTAAATTTTAGTAAAGTTCTTTGCTGATTTACTTAGGTCCCTTGTATATTAAGTGTCACATTGTAGTTTCTAGCACTTTTTTGGAGATTAAATAATCTGTTTTTAGTTTGAACAATTTTACAAACGCAAACCTTTTGGTTACTTTAATAGATACGGTGTTGTCAGTATTAAAGTATCATGTGAAGAAAAACAGTTAATACGAGTTTTCAGTGATGACTATTAGAATTCCAATTGCTTCTGCAAGTTTCCTGGTGGTTGATTTCTGGATTGTTTACGTGATAAAGTTTCACTTACTCTTAAGGTATTTGGGATAAAAGAAAGCGGAGGTTTTTTGGGTCGTAATAAAATCTAAGATGTCGCTTAGTTTTTTGTGAATGAATTTGATGTCAATAGAAGTGCTTCGATATGTATATATAATATGTAAAATGCATATGTTTATGTGTACAAGCTGATTTAAATCATCCTTGATAACACTAGACTTTCACTGTCTATCTCATTGTTTGAAATATCAAAATAATTATTTCAATAAGCTCATTATGATTATCACACCATACTGCAGTAATTTAAGTTTTTAAGAATAATATTTGCCAATTTCTTCTTTAGCGCTACGAATGGCTACTTATATGTGACAGTAGTATATAATGGGTCTGCATTTGTGGCACTTTATGCTTTACTTTTATTCTACTTGGCCACTCGAAGCATCCTACAACCATTTGATCCTGCAATCAAATTTGCTGTAGTTAAATCCGTTGTATTCTTATGCTTTTGGCAAGGTTTGTTGAGAAATTATTTTTTCTGTTTCCATAATATTGCTAATTTATGCTTTCCCCCTATTGTCAGTGCTGAATTTAATTTGTCATTGTATAGTGTAAGTTGTTATACAGTTCTCTTATTTTATGTATAGATTTGTTTACATCACCGAATAATCAATTGTTGGATGATTCTTCGTATTTCTAATCTGATTTGGATTTAATTTGCTTTTAAGATACTCTGTGGTTGAAATTAAGACCACTGCAACATGACACACTAAGTCGCCTTGTCTGAGCTTCTTCAGGGAAATTATCAAGAATTGAAATTATTGAAAACATGAATAGATTTACAAAATAAGTTTTTACTAAAGCAATTATTCAGTCATTTTTGTGATGTTGAACCTGAATTATGTTAAAGTACGGATGTGAATGTGTCATTATTGTGAAATATGGTCCAATCGTCAAGTTCCAAAGAGCTTACAGATTTGTGCCATACAACATAGTTTCAGTTTTATAACCACATACAAGTGAGAAAAATAAAGTTGAGTGAGATTACCTATATCATGATTTATGCAGAAATAATAATGCAAGTCCTTGAAGCTACAGTTCAACCAAAAATCGAACTGAAAATGTAGATACCTAATAATAAAAAAATGATCAGTGTCATTTTTCTGTATTAAGTATGTTGGGCTAGAGATAAATCCTAACCTTACTAACAGATCAGTGAGAACCTCCACAAAATAACAATCAAATTCATCTTGTTTACATTTCATAATAAATCTTGCTTTTTACCAACTTGTAGCTCGTATTCTGAAAAACACCCATCTATACATACCGTTCACATAATCTGACATATATGATTTTCTTATATATATATATATATATATATATATATATATATATATATATATATACCTGTACTAGAGTTATTGCCGGTTGCAAGCTCACAAATAGTAGGAGGGTTTGGCTTGGGGTCGGCAACCTCATATCGTAGAGAAAAATCATGCTAAACAACGCCAACCAGATTAAACAAATTAAACCATTTAAATTCTGTTCCGGTAGTTGAAAGGAGAATTATGACGCCCCATGATGAAAGCCGAGATTCTTCGGAAGTCACGAGGCCGATGCTCCTTCTAAAAACCAGAGCAACAATTTTTATAGGTACGTGGAACGTTACTCACTTTGGAATGGCCGAATACCATTAGCAGCAGTCTGCTCTGGTAAAGTTTTGACTAGTTTCCTTTTGAGGGAGAATTAAGAGAACAGCCAATACCCCATCAACCAGATATTTCCAAATCAGTACCACTATATTTTAATCCATGTATGGTTTTTCCTCAGAATAGAATGAGTTTTACGTTTTTTTTGTCTCAGTAACGCTTTTTTATCATTTTGATTGACCATGATTTTTTACATTCATATTATGATAAACATCTTTTTTTATATATTTCTCTTCAAATTCACTTATCCAAATTACTGTTTGTTTATCATCATTCACTTTGATCAAAGGTATTATACTAGCTATTCTAGAAAAGACTGAAGTTCTTCCCGCTTTGCCGAATACAAACGCCGGTACAGTTGCAGCAGGCATACAGAATTTCCTGATATGCTTAGAAATGTTAATCGCCTCGGTTGCTTTACGCTTCGCTTTTCCCTCACAACTATATATTGATGGAGTCGGAACTGGACCAGCAAATAGTGGCTATGATAGTCTTGGTGGAGTTGTTGGTGAAGTTTCTCTTGAATCCAAGATGCGTAAGTTAGTTGTGTGGTGAAGTTTTTGGGTCATTGTAGTTGTAAGTCGAGTGACTGTTCTTTAAAATGATCAAGCTATTAAAACTACTAATCTATAAAAAACCCATGACTTGTGAAGTAAGTCTAATCGAGAATGAGGTAGTTGCCAACAGATAGTGTATTGAAATGTACCACAGTTCGTTGGATTTTAAAGTATGGACTGTCGAGTGTCGACTTTGTGGTTTAATGATATTGTTTTCGGAGCATGGACTGAAGGCCACGAGCCCGGTCTCAGGCGTGGCTACCGTTGCACCCTTCTGTAGAGTCCCACACTAGAACGAGACAGTTATTTACTAATTGAATATTTTTAAAATAGTAGTCGGTGGTTGGTTATCTGAGATTTAAATGCTGTCACGCTGGTTTATGAGACCTCAACATACAATGTATTTATGGTTCGACTAAAGAACATTTGGATCTCAATAGTGTTGGTGTACTTCAAATAATGAGTACTCAAGTATATTACTCCGTACTTTTCTTTCCTATATTCTATGTTGTTAAGTCTCTTACTTCGACCTAGTATTCTCGGACACCTTACTTGGCTAGTTCTCTAATTAAAACACTGTTAATTTTGCTACTTGATTAACGCAGGATACGGTATACAACTACGGCACTCGAACGTATAGAAACCCCACAGAAGACTGGGAAACTGCTTGTTGAATAAGAATCAAAATGTACAACAAACCATGGGTATTTATTAGCGTTTGTTATATCAACAGTATAATTCAACCAATCCGCAAAGAGGCATGTTATGCTGCTGTCCAATAGTAGCGTGCCACGTAGATATTCCAGAAAGCTCCATCATGTTCTGTTTGGATGGAAATTCTTCGACTTCTTTAGGGCCTATGGAGGCTCATTCGTAGTTCTCGGAAGCCGTCCCAACAAACACGACTTGGTCAGAGCGTAAAATCAGAATGACCAATCTACAAAATTCCAGTGTAAATATAGACTGTACATAGGAATGTTCGAGAGTCTTCTCAGCTTAGTTGGCTGGAAATATATCGATCAACACATTTTAACGTGATTTTGTCTATCCTTTTGAACTTTATTTCCCAAGTTCAGTTCCCCATTGTTATTGTTATTTTTCAACTCGTGCTTTCCGTGTTTATTGTTCCTCCTATCATTGGGCTAACGTGAAGTGAACAGTAGTGGGTAGCGAAAGCAAGAGAGATGGAAAAGGCAGCGGCAATAGGTAACAGCAGGCAACTGTTCAGACTTGTTAAGAAAACCGGTATTAGGAACCAAACTGTTAGCGAAACAATCGCAGAGAAAGATGGACATATTATTCATCCTCAATCCAGGAGATTGGATCGATGGGCAAAACACTTTAGGGATCAGTTCAACTGGCCTTCAGCCACACTTCGGTTTCCCACGATTTCCAGTTGACCTGAATGGCAAGTTGATGTAAGTCCTCCGACTCTTTACGAGGTTGAAAAAGCTATAGATAATCTGAAGCGTGGGAGAGCAGCAGGCCCTGACGGGTTTACCCCTGAGATTTTTAAGGATGGAGGTCCAATATTAGCAGCGAGATTGACTGAGGTCTTAGTTAGAATCTGGGATCTGGACGTAATCGCATCTGACTGGTCTCAATCACTGATTGTGCCAGTCTATAAGAAAAGACAAAAGTCTTCTTGTGACAATCACAGAGGAATCAGTCTGACTAATATAGTGTCTAAAATATTAGCTTCAATAATACTTCGACGCCTAACCAAAGCTCGTGAAGAGCAGACTAGAGAAAACCAGGCTGGTTTTCGACCTGGACGTGGTTGTATAGATCAGATATTCACACTACGTCAGGTTCTAGAAAATAGACACACATTCAGACGCCCCACAATGGTAGTATTTCTCGACCTTGAGGCGGCATTTGATTCTGTTGATCGTGGGGTTCTATTGCAGTGTTTGTCACTGAAAGGAGTACCAAAAAAGTACATTAACCTTATAAAGGTTCTACTCGAACAAAACTGGTCGAGTGAGAGCTTATGGTGAACTGTCATCAGAACTGATTACCTCAAGTGGTGTTCGTCAGGGCTGTCCACTCTCTCCATTCTTGTTTAACTTTGTCGTTGACGTGCTTTTAGAAATAACACTTTCCTCATCTAAACTTCCAGGAGTTGAACTTCTACCGGGAGATTCACTTGTTGACTTAGAATATGCCGATGACATAGTTCTATTTAGTGAAGACGCTGACAAAATGCAGAGTCTGCTGACCACTCTAAGCAACAATGCAGGCATGTTCGGTATGCGATTTTCTCGTACGTTCGTACGAAGTTCCACGTTGTTTCTGACTGACTGAACTGGCAAGTAGTTCGTTCTGGTTAGAGACTTCTCGACAGCTGTCAGCAACGAATTCTCTCAAGTTCGGGTTCAAGACGTCATTTCGTTATGTAATGACCCTTCAAAAAGTGTCAAAATCTTCGCCTGCTGACATCAGCTGGTGAACTATTTGAAACTAGACGACATTCATTAGCTATTCCACTTTACTTTCCAAGTCCCATCATCTCAAACCCAGTCAGTCACGACGTAGGACCAGGGACATATATGCATCGGTCCAAGTTGCCATACCCCATTAGCATAGCAAGATGAACACCGGATTCATAGAAGTAGTTAATTTAGTGGTGGTAATATATAGAAGAAAGATTGCATATAAGGAGATAGCACAGTAGAACTGTCTTGACGTTCGTATTGAAAATTCTCAATTTCTTGTTGGTTGACAGTTGTTTCAAGTTCCATATGTTCTTCAACTATAGGAATACGGCCCTTTTCCAATCCTCACCGTTACGTCTGCATCAGATTCTTCTTGTTCATCGATGATGCTGTCTAGGTACGTGAGTATCTCCATCAAGTGTGATTGAGTTGGTGTTTTCCGTGTTGTATTTGAGGGTCTTGGTTTTTCCCTTGTGTGTATTGAGGCCCATTGCTGTACAGGCTGTTGCTACACTGGTTGTCTTGACCTGTATTTGTTGGTATGTTTGAGATAGAAGAGCTAGGTGATCTGCGAAGTCAAGTCGTCTAGTTGCATGCAGCCTGTCCATTGTATTCCGTGCTTCTCCTCAGATGTCGAGGACTTCATAATCCAGTCAACCACCAAAAGAAAGAGAAAGGGGGTAGAATAAGCAGTGTTGTCTGAAACTGGCCCCCACATGGAATGCGTCTGTCAGCTGTCCTACATACACGACTTTGCAGTGTAGCCCGTCGTATGAATTCTGGATGATGTTGACGATCTCAGGTGAACCACAGTATCGAGGATGATTTTATAGGGTTCTCCTATCGACCCTGTCAAACGCCTTCTCATAGTCAAGGAAGTTGATGTATAGTGACGAACTCCATTCAATTGGTTGCTCAACAGTTATCCGTAATGTCGCGATTTGGTCCGTGCACGAGGTCCATACTGTCGGGCGTCTACTGAATCTCTCATCCGGTTCGACAACACTTTGTTGGAAACGTTTCCTGGTTCTGACAGTAGTGTGATGTCACTGTGGTTTGCAGATTTGCTCAGATTTCCTTTCTTTTGTATCTTGATGAGATTTCTTTGTGTCCAGTCTGTCGGCAATTGTTCCTCCTTCCAAATCTCCGTGAATAGAGTGTGGAGCATGTTTGTAGTTGCCTATAACCAACTTTTGAATGCTTATAGGTTTTCAAAATCGCTGCCCATTTTTGTTTCTACCTCCCAGTACATTTAGTCCCATAATACCTTCATATCCGGTGTTGTCCATTCCAACTTTAGCGTTTGGATATCCCATCAGGATGAGATCTTTTTTGGGCACTTCGCTATGATTAATTACAGCATCTCATAGAACTGATCTTTATTGTCGTCAATGCTATTTATTGGTGGATGCATAACACTGGATAACACTCATCGTGACTCCCTTCATTCTTTGTTTTGAATGATGTTTTCATGATCCTAGATCCGTGAGACTCCCATCCTATAAGTGCTTCTCGTGGTTCTTTGGACAGCATCAGAGCAACTCCCTAAGAATGTGAAGCATTTTCCTCTTCATAACAGGAGTACAGCAGCATTTCCCCGTATCTAACCTTTGCTGTCCAGTTTGGGTCCGAGCACTTTTAAGTTACATCTCCTCATTTCCGTGGCTATTTTACTGGTCCTCTCCGTCTCCCACATTGTCCGGAAGTTCCACGTACCTATAAAAATTGTTGCTCTGGTTTTTAGAAGGAGCATCGGCCTCGTGACTTCCGAAGAATCTCGGCTTTCATCATGGGGCGTCATAATTCTCCTTTCAACTACCGGAACAGAATTTAAATGGTTTAATTTGTTTAATCTGGTTGGCGTTGTTTAGCATGATTTTTCTCTACGATATGAGGTTGCCGACCCCAAGCCAAACCCTCCTACTATTTGTGAGCTTGCAACCGGCAATAACTCTAGTACAGGTATATATATATATATATATATATATATATATATATATATATATATATATATATATATATATATATAAGAAAATCATATATGTCAGATTATGTGAACGGTATGTATAGATGGGTGTTTTTCAGAATACGAGCTACAAGTTGGTAAAAAGCAAGATTTATTATGAAATGTAAACAAGATGAATTTGATTGTTATTTTGTGGAGGTTCTCACTGATCTGTTAGTAAGGTTAGGATTTATTTCTAGCCCAACATACTTAATACAGAAAAATGACACTGATATTTAATTAAATATAGAAACAACTAACAAAAATTGCACTGGAATTGAAATGTAATCAAATGTTCCCTTTCCATGTTCAATTAATAGAAAATCCTGAAAAGAATTATGACCGTGAACTCAACCGCTTATAAGATATCTGAAATAATGTACTGGATTTATAATTTAAACTAATTTAGACAAACTGTTTCAGTCAGCAGTCAGCTGCAACGTAGGACCAGGCACATATATACATCGGTCCAAGTTGCCATATCCCATTAGCACAGCAAGATGAACACCGTATTCATAGAAGTAGTTAATTTAGTGGTGGTAATATATAGAAGAAAGATTGCATATAGCACAGGAAGAAAGAATTAGTTCGTAGAAAGAAAGATATGAAGCGATTTTAATCTCTTAGTTCGAAGGAAGACAGAGAGTGTACACACCTACGCCATTGTGATCGATTCCGAGCCAAGAGTCTCTAACCATTGGTTACGATAGTCACGCGGGCCTCAACCAGGTAGTTTGCATCTACCAACATGGCTCAGACCAGAAGTTAGTGACTTCCAACACTGATGTCATGTTTTGATTTGGCCGCCCCTAACTTTCTTCCAATTATCCCTAACACCGGTTAGCATTGCGCGCCGTGGTAATCGGTGTTCAGACATACGTAACACATGGCCCAACCATCTCAGTCGATGAAGATTCATAACCTTATCAACTGATTTACCATCATTCCCTAATACCCTGCGTCTAACCTCACTATTACTTACCCGATGATCTCAGCAGATGCGAGCAATATTTCTAAGGCACCTGTGGTCAAATACTAGTAACTTACGAGTATCTTCTACTCTTAGTGGCCATGTTTCGCAGCCGTATAGTAGAACGGAACGAACTGCCGCGCAGTATACTCGTCCCGTATTTGATAGACAGATATCTCGCCTTCGCCATAGGTGACGTAAGTTGGCAAAAGCCAAACGAGCTTTTCGAATCCGTGCTGAGATTTCGTCAGACACCAACCCATTAGGGCTGGTCAGACTTCCAAGATAAGTGAAGTTGTCAACGCGTTCGACTACTTCACTCCCTATCCTTAGTTCAGATGTTGACGTCGACGAGTCCTGAAGCAACAACTTGCGCATCTCAAACATCCCGGCATTGTTGCTCAGTGCTACCAAAAGACTGCATTTTATCAGCGTCTTCACGAAACAGGACTATGTCATCTGCGTATTCTAAGTAGATAAGTGGACCTCCTGGTAGGAGATCAATGCCCAAGAATTCAGTCGATGAGAGCGTGATTTCCATCAGTAGATCTATGATGAAGTTAAATAAAAATGGTGAAAGTGGACAGCCTTGACGGACACCACTTGAGGTTGCAAAAGCAGATGACAGTTCACCATAAGCTCTGACTCGACTAGTAATGTTCTAGTAAAGAGCCTTCACAATGTTTATGTACTTCTGAGGTACGCCTTTCAATGACAGACACTGCCACAGAACTTCTCGGTCTACAGAATCAAATGCTGTTTTTAAGTCAAGGAAGACCACCATTATCGGACGCCGATAAGTATGCCTGTGTTCCAGAACCTGACGAATGGTGAATATGTGGTCGATGCAGCCACAACCAGGTCTGAAGCCAGCTTGGTTCTCTCGTGTTTGCAGTTCACAAGTCTTATTTAGGCGTCCAATAATTATCGAGGCTAGTATTTTAGATGCTTTATTAGTCAGACTAATCCCTCTATGGTTGTCACAGGATGATTTTGACCCTTTTTAAATATTGGGACGATAAGTGATTGTGACCAGTTGGATAGGATAACGTCTAACTCCCAGATTTTAGCTAAAATATTGGTCAACCTAATCGCTAAAACTGGACCACCATCTTTGAAGACCTCTGGAACCAATCCATCTGAACCAACTGCCCTTGCTCGTTTCAGATTAACTATAGCCTTTTGAACTTCAGCTAGATTTGGGGGACCTACTTCAGTGTTCCATTCACACTGTCTGGGAATGGAGGGTAGTTGTAGAGTAGCTGAACTGTTCTCTAAAATGTTCTGCCCATCGTTCTAAACGTCTGGACTGGGAGCAAATGAGTGTCGTCTTTTTCCGAAATAGTCTGACTTACACTTGACTTATTAATTCCAGTTTCTTTTGTTAGTCTGTAGAATTGTTTTGTGTTCCCTATAGCCACCGCCTTTTCCATCTCTTTTGCCTTCGTTGCCCACCGCTGCTCACGGTCGTTCCTTAGACTTTTGCTTAATCTAGATCTGGTTTGTTTACGCTCTTCATCGTGTTCAGAACCTGATGGGATGAGTTTACGAGAATCCATCAGTGCAATAGACCTTGAAGAAATCCATTGGTTCTTTGTAACCCTGTGGTTCAAATTACTAATAGATGTCACTGCTGTTTCCACAGCAGCTTGTATATCTTTCCAAGCAACATCTGGGTCTGCCTCGTTTTCAGAACTACCTAAGTGTGACCTCAGTTGTTCTTGGAACCTACTTTTGGTCTTCTCGTTACTCAGTTCAGTTTTAATGTGTATTTTATTGTGGCGCAAACAGATGCGTGCCCGTATAAGAGCATGGTCGGAGTCCAAGCAGGTAATCCAGAGTGAGCGACAATCAACTATCGACCCTCTCCAACGATGACTGATGGCAATATGGTCTATTTGAGTCCATCGTTGGTTTGGTGCAGGGGGTCGCCATGTTAGACGATGTCTCTCCTTATGCTTAAAATTTGTGTTTGTCTGAGCACAGTTGCAGCAGATGATCACCATTATCTGTTCGCTGTGCCGGAATACTAAAATACCCAGATACACGGAGGGTGTATCTCGTCGGCTCTCCGTTTTGCCGAGGTGAGGTCAAGTGGATGACCACACTAGGATCCTGTATGCGTGTTTCGGAGACACACAATACATCAAAGGTACGAGATTCTAGAGTTTTAGCCAAGGAAGCCTGCTGACCGATTCGACATAGTGTGCGTACATCGAAGGCTCCAATGTATAGTTTGAAGCGAGGTTTCAATAGACCTGGAACAGTGTTTTGCGCACTAGAATCGTTGGCTATGGTGACACTTGAGGAGGAAGCCGAAAGAGGAAGTTTAGAGTCGAAAGTCGATCAAGGAAGAATAATAGGAATTGAAGACGGCGGTTGATTATGAATACAGTGGTCTTGAGTGCTGTTAGATGTATGAGGGCGGTTATCACTTCCCGGTTGCCTACACCGTGGAAGGGTTCTTCCGGAGGTGTCTGAAAATGGAATTGTGTTAGGGGTGGTCTTAGTGACCTGAGAGCGTGACCGCAGTGCCCAAGGGACAACTGCTTGAGGTCGGTCACACACGACCATTTTATGAGTAATTTTTGTGTTAGCTCCGTACTTGTTGAGACCTTGCCGGCGGGGACAGATATCCGTGGGATAAGACGAGGTGTGCATTTTTAGGGTCGACCTTTTCTAACCCCACCCCTCCTTGTGGGAAGGCATCATCGCTGTCATGCTGGTTGTCTGAAGGAAAAACCTTACTGTCGTCACACTTCTGTACAGTCAGCAGTACGACTTCGCCTTCGGACCTTGGATTTGTTGCTTTTAGTCTTACCGCTCTTCAACCGACCCGTCTGACACGGTCGGGACGGGATTAGTTGATCGAAATCTCATCATAAATGTACATGCTAGCTGACTCTTAACAAAGTCAAATCAAATATTTATTACAACCGCTTTATTCAGCTGTTGTTGCTGGAATCGTCACAAATCAAACGTTTTATTTTAAATTTGTCTGTTGTCAGTAACCATCATCGTTATTTGTAATGATTTTCTGGTCAAATTCTTGCCATTTTCAGGTGGATTTCTACCGTCTTCTGATTCTCTACGTAGTCTGCGGGATACATTCAATCCTAAGGATGTGTTTAATGATGCGATTCATAATTTTCATCCGAATTATCAAAAATACACTCAACAAGTAAGGTTTTCCGGGTTAGGTTTTAGTCTTTATAAAATAACCGCATATTGAATTGTATGTTGATAATGTAGTGTGATTCATGCGTTCACGATTAAATAAGACTCTAGACACATGCTTGTATCTAGGTAGGTATTGGTGTTTGTACTAAAACTCTTATCAGTATTCGTCTCTTTGCAAGATGACATTTTTGTAAAAATGCAAGAGAAAAAGGATATAGCTAATCCATCAAATATTCCGAGTAAAGTCAACAACGTTCGGAAGAAAAAGAACTCATTTATTTCAAATAGGCAAACTGAAAAGAAGTGGTTTTTATCATATTGCCGTGGTGGAGTTCATCACTTCAAAGTCGGTAACTAGATACTTCAACACAGTGATAAAAAAGTGGTTTGGTGTGTTTCATTTTTTCTCTGTGATGCATATCTGAAGACTATGTTAACAGATTTCCTCTGTTTGTAAAGGTGTCCCATGGCTGTAATGATATCTATGCTTTTTAATTTTTAAACTGATAATTGTGGAATCGTTCTCGTAACGCTGAATAAATGGGCATCTTTTAGTTCTTTTAAAATCCGCGTTTTTCTGGGCATTGCCTACAATTGAGATAACGATATATTAGGGTATTGTTTTTACTTTAGATTAGTAGAATAATGTTTCTAAAAATTATACTAAGTGTTATTGCTTTAGCACAGAAACAAGATTGTAGAAGTCGGCGTTCTGACTATCGATTTTGTCACTTGACATTTGATAGAGGCAGAAGTCACAACAATTGGAGACAGGGACTTTTGGGGTTAAACAGCAAAGTAAAGAAAATAATAGTATCTGTAAAAAGAAAAACACGATTAGCATTCTATTCCGAACATTTGTATTCACTTTTACAGCAGCAGTATATGTTTGCTTCTCAATAGCAACTTCTGGAAGCAGTTTTAGGAAGACTGTTTAACCAGGTATTCCAGAAAGATAAAAGCTTAGAGTAATATCTCAGTCCAGTCCCAGAATTTATTTTTTATGCAGATAGTGGTCATACTTTTGAAGCATGATTCGACAGAATAGAAGATATTTTGCGAGTAGAATTTTCTGTTATGGACGTAACTGTTACTGAGCATCAAAAGTATAGAAATCATAATCTGCCAGAACTTTCACGAGAAGTCCATTTGAATGAGTGTTGAAATTTTAAATAAAATGTTTTCTGAACAGATATCATTATTTCTTAGCTGGTATAATTGTTTATATTTGACACGGTAGGGTAAATTTACAAGCAGAACGATTAAAATTAAATGTATTATCCGGTGATCAGTTTGAATGCTTATTATTCATCAGTAAAAACTCTACCATCGATGCTAACTTTCGCATGCGGTTGTTATCCCGTATGCAACATGACGATGAAATGACTGCAAACTGACACTGTGCCGGGGATTAATAAACCTAAACCGGGATACAGCTATGCTGGAAATCAAAAGTACAGTGTCATTTAACCATTCTGTTCATGCTGTTAAAATATGTTGAAGGTAAAATAGTAGTAAGTATCTGATAAGTCACGACGACTTGAACACGAGAGAAAAGATGTGAAATGTAGAAAGAGCGCTTTACTCTGACGTTAGTTTATGTACAGAAAATCGAGAGTATTTACAGCATTTCGGATGACCTTGGGCTTATGGAATGTTCTGGAACCCTTCTAAACGTAAGAGTAGGATGGGTAATCATCCGGTCAGAAGTGTGACACGTGACTCGTCGCTTTCTAGATGTTTCCGAGAAGCTCCTATTCAATGCTGGCTGGATAAAATGTTTCCCAGTGTTTTCAGGGCCCCTTTTGGCTCTTTTCGGGTTTCCTACGATATTACTCGAATATTCCCAAACCTTCCACAAAATATTGGTATTGTGATACGTGGTATTATTTACTTATTTATTTATTTGAACACATAAATATTGGTACAAGGGGGCACCAAATATATATGCGCCACACAAAACAATGCGAATTTGAAAAGAAAAAAAGAAGAGGGCAAGGAGCGTAAAAAAAGAACAATAACGAACGGATTAGTGTGAGGTAGTGTAATAATAATAATAATGGGGGAAACGAAAAGATACAATCGGAAGAAGTCTTTCAGTTAAGGAAGAAGCAACCACTTTTTCTATAAAGAAAGTAAAAGAAGGTTACAGCAGGATCGCCACTGGCTTCTTTTCTGAGCCATATCTGATAACGTTTCTAGCCACTGTGTTACACCATCTCTCGGACCCCAGCCAGGGAGTCGTGAAGCACTAACACAAGCCAGCCCTTTGCGGCTTTCTTTCATAGCACGATACCATGTCATACACTGACCACCTCTCCGCTTTTTCCAACCAGTCCCCAGAGTCGGCAAATAATGCACGACGTGGAATTCTCTGGGACGACATTCGTGGAACATGTCCAAGCCACCGAAGTCGGTGTTTCAAGATGGTGACACCAATTGGATGGTCGTCTCTGTGCACGAACACACGATGCCGAACCTCTGCATTACTAACATGGTGTTGCCACTGGATGTCAGCAATCCTTCGGAGACAGCGATGATTAAACACAGAGAGTCGTCTAACATCCTCAACTCGGAGAGGCCAGGTTTCACAAGCATAGAGCGAAACTGCTCTCACCGACGCAATCTGTCGCGGCATAGGCGGAGATGACGAAAAGATATCGTTTCTCACGCCGATTTCTTCTCACTTTGATGGAACTTTCTAATCTAACGGCACATAACCGACTGTTAATGGTGATCCAATCGATTAGTGCTGCCTCAGCTCTAGCGCTTAGTGCGACACCGACGCCATCAAGACCAGACGAAGATGCCACAGGGTCCCCGGATAAACGCACGTAAAACAAGAATTTTGAAGCAACAAATGGAGAGCGAATTTGTAGTACTTCACTGGAGTCTTGAATACGGATCTCGGATAAACAACAAACGTCAATATTAAGACTTTCCAATGACATAGCCAGCCCTATCTGTGTGCAAACGTTGAAGGCAGCCAGTTTGAATGGTGCACGTGGTTTCAGAAAAACTGCTTCAGTACTCGTATTCGGTAGTAACATACAATTTTCAACCAGGCAGTGACTCGAGAACGTTTAGATAGGGCCGAATTTCCACCATAGGCGAGCTGCTCTATAAGTCGAAAAATAAGGATAGATAGAGTAGGAATAAAAGAAAGTGAATAAATGACGTGGTAAATTATAATAATAACAATAACAATAATAGTAATAATAATGACAGTGCGAATCGTCCGATTGTTAATTGGAGCAAGAAGAGTATCTTCCATAAATGTCAACATTTCATCATGTTTGTGTGTGGGTTGTAATACTGCCCAGGTGCCCAAACCGAAGCAGATGGTTTTTTTAGGGAACCACACTCCGAGCCTTCGATCTAAAGGTCTAACCCACAAGGCAGTGGAGCATCGTGAGGAGATGCAGTCCCATGGAAGCCGGTGACCAAGAAATTGGTTCATACGCCATTTGTTCCCTCAGGATACTGGAGCTCATGTGCACCATTGGTTTGGGATCCGGTTAAAGCGCCGGACATTCGCTTTTCGTCCTCTCATTTTCGTAAACAACACCCCCGCCACGAGAAGGCAATGAATAAGACTTCCCTGGCAGAGGCTATATACGCGTGGCCATGGGATAGCATTTCGAGAGGGAGAGCGGACTCTCCCCACTCTCGGCCGTACCATGGCGTTTGGGGGTTCTAAAGGGAGGACTGTGAGACCTCCCCACTGACTAAAAATACACGCCCGAGCGCACCCGACTAGGGTTCGTCGCGAGTTTCAACCCACCGATGTGCAATGGTGAGCCTCCACACAGGGTCAGAGCATTCCTGATCACTCTGAACCCGGCGCCAGGTATTCGGGGGCACTGGAGTCCATGTTCACCATTGGTTTGGGATCCGGTTAGAGCGCCGGACATTCACTTTTCGTCCTCTCATATCCGTAAAGAACACCGCCACGAGAAGGCTGTGAGTAGAACTTCCCTTTCGAGAGTGAGGTCGGGCCCACCTCACTCTCTGCCGTACGAGGGCATTTGGGGGCATGGTATTCCTTAAAAACTTACCGGTTTGGGAATTATAGATGCACCATTTAGTATAAAGTCGGTGATAAATAAACGGTCTACCGAACTAGAGAAAGTTCGAAATCCAAGCTGATGTAGCGTTTCCACCAGTATCAACATAAGTTTACAAACAGTATAAATGCTCCATTGGCATTAAGTATAGCGGATAAAAGTAGGTATGTGGAATTATCGGTTAACAGTGTTCATATTCGATCACATTTGGATATAGCATCAGACATCACCTTAATCTTTAAAAGGAAATGGAATTTAATTGGCTGTCCACAAGTTATTTCAACTGAGCACACAGCTCGAAATGCATCCGAAGATATATTAAGGCATGTTGAAATGCTCTGTTGAATTCCGAGATAACTACTTCACAGGAAATTGTTATTTAACGAACAGACATAATTTGAACCTTATTAGTATAGATTGGATAAACAAACTAAATCTATGGGATGTACTATTGAGCGAAATATGTACAATGAAAAGCTCAAATAACCCTAGAGATCTGCCCGTTGTTCATGTAACTAAGAAAGCCATAACGACAGAAGACCTTTTTCGCAAACATACAAGCTTGTTCCAGAATAAGTTAGGATGCTCCACAATTCGAAACGCAAAATTATACTTACGACAAGATGTAAAACCTGTCTTTTGTCCAAAACGTCAAGTTCCATATGCAGCTATTGACAAAGTTGACGAAGAATTCGGTGTCATACAACCTATTAATTACTTGCCACGGGCAGCACCAATTTTAGTAGTTCAGAAAGCGAACAGAACTATTTGTCTTTGTGCGTATTTTTCAACAGGATTAAATGATGCTATACCAAATCATTCATATACACTACTCTTACCAGGTGATTTGTTTGTTAAATTAAACGGTGGACGTTATTTTGCTAAACTTGATTTATCTGACGCCCACTTACAAGTGAAAGTTGACAAAGATTCAAAGGAGTTTCTAACCATTAATATTCACCGTGGACTCTATCACTTTAACCTATTACTGTTCGTAGTGAAGCAACACCAACAATTTTCCAGCAAATAGTGGATACCATCATATTTAATCTAAAAGGTGTAACAGTTTATTTGGATGACGTAGTTGTTGATTCTATTACTTCGAAACATGAGTCGGTTGAACATTGTGCTTACTAAAAAACCGCAAGCTAGTTTTCAGTTACAAAAAGGGAATTGTGAATTCTTGTTCGAGTCTGTTAGATACCTTGGATACATATTTGGTAAAGATGGTCTTCGGTCTGATCCGGACAGCATCAATGCTATCAAAAACATGCCCAGGCCCAGGACGATTTAGTCACGTGGGAGGGGGGCAGAAGTCATAACATGACACAGGAATTAAACTGCCACATCATACTAAGCAAAACTCGATGTTTTGATCTAATCAGTCAAGTGAATAATAAAATGAAAAAACTGAAAACATTCAATTAGTTTTATTTGAAAAATATTGATACTTTCCCCATATATTTCACATATTACATACTATTTTTATTGTACTATTTTAGCGTAACCTCAAAGATTTCGATGATGAAACAATCGATTCTTATCAAGATAATACATTTAGTGGTAATAGTGATCTAAATAATATTCAATCAACAGTACCAGCTCCACCAATACCACCGCCACCAAGACCGTAATCCAATTAAATCATTTACTTACACTAATTGCTTTGATATTAAAGAAGCCAGATAATCTCTCCTGTTTTTGTTTCTCGCGGTTTTTTTTCTTTATATTCACTTTGGTATTAGATATTGTTTCGATGTGTTTTTATTTATCATGTATATCTATCTATGTGCGTGTGTGTTGTTTATACTTTTGCTTTTACTTTATGTTCATATCAAATGATCTTGTTGTTAGTCCTGTTTCATTCTCTATAGATTTATTTTATCATATTAACTTGTCGCTTTATTTATGATTACATGATAGATAATGACCCAAGCATTCATAGATTTTTTTTTCTTTTCATTTTTTGTAATCATTACTTTCGCAAATTAATTAATATACACTATATTGTTTGACTTTTACTTTGCCTATTTATCTCCCTACCGTTGTTTATTTTATTTCCAATGGCTAAATCAGAGAAAATAAGTTACATTCTGTTATTTTTGTCTACTCTAAACAAGCACTGCTCATATATTTCATACTACGGAATAATCGGAAGATTTGTATTAGGAAGGAAGTTTTACTGTACATAAATTAATATATACCAGTAAATCAAACAGAATATTTTTCGTATTCATCTAATCTCATTTGACCGTTACCTACAGTGAAAGTTATTCTTAGGCATTTTTATTTTGTCATGTTTTCTTTTTTAAAAAATCTTGTTACTACAAACATTTAAACTTCTTCCTCAGAACATACATTTGTTTAATTCTTTCCAATATGGTAGTATGTGAATGATTACTTATTTACCCCTTGACAGGATTCACTTTGTGGATTGTTTGAGAATATTGTTTTGTTCGTCTTACATACTTTTCATTTGTTTGTCTTCGTGTGTTTATATCCATCCCCGTGTTTCTATTATAGCTGCATGTGCTAGTATGTAACACTGGCAGACATTGTTTTACTAGTAGATTTAAGTTTTTGTTGTTTTGTCATCACTATTGATTTTAAGGTTATTCTTCATAATATCAACTGTGTGTATGATATTATCCATCGTTTTCATAATAAATAAATTTGTACTAGTCAATCTGTAGTTGTGTAATGAGTACATGACATGTCTCTGGGTGTTCTGTCAGAAAACCGTAATTTAATGCCGTAAATTTTAAATTTAACTCATTTGTATAGCTGAATTATTTACTGAAACATTCTTACTGATATCAAATAATTAATAATTTATTCGATTTTTCACCAGTCATGGATTTTAAAAGTTAGTCCCTTTGATAAATTTCGATAATGCAATGAGAAGAAGTTTATCAGAATTATGCGATATATTTGCGCAATACATTTCGAACAATCTGATCACACATATACTTGTTAAGAACATTTATCTATGAAAATTAAAAGGTCAACTAGACAGGTTCAGGGTAAGCCATAACAAAGGAAAAAAATATATTAAAGTACACAAAAACAAATGTGATTACCACTCTGGACAATAGATCAGTATTACAAGGGTAGGTTAAGTGTAAGGACAAATTGTTTTTGAACACGTAAAGGGATTGATAGCTAATTTAAGTCTCCGTTCCAACATGAGACTATTTGTGTCGCTTCTGAATGGTAACGTAATATAAACCCCTTTTTGGGTGCCAGAAGCGTCATAGGTCTAATCTTATTGCAACACTTCCAGCGGTTTATGAACTCCAAAGAATAACCATTAACATATCAGTCAAAAAGCTTCGTCTCTGTTTCAATAGTATCACTAATACAAATACGGTTGACATTAATTGCAAGGCCATTGTGATTCCCTACCACCCATTGATTAGAAATAGTGGGGTAATGATTTTGATTATTACCCTGAAGAAGTCCAGACAAGTTAGCTGGGCGAAACGTCGGAATTATTTAGATTTCAAACGCCGAGATTATTTCAGATATAATTTTCATATATAATAGTAGGGTGTGTTAAAAAATTTTAGGAATTGGTGATCAATGTACTTGTGTGTGCTCAAGTGATAATGAACAAACATTTTGTCATCTGTAATAATTTTTTAATTGGTCGTAAACTGATCATCTTTGTAATCTGATTAGTTCAGATCGAAATAGCATCAAGTGCTTTGATTGGATGTGAGAATTTGCATTTTTACATTTGAAATTTATTTTTAATAAGTAATTCTTTTTGTTTCATCCGAGTCTTGATAAAAATTTTAACATATATCATACAGTCTGTTGTAAATGACATGTTCTTCAGTAATGTCTCGTTCCGTGAACTCTTCGGAGTTAATAGAAACAACTTCCTCCTCGTCATTACTGAACGGTGCATCGAAATCGACGTCACCTTGGTAGTTAGCAACTGAAGTTTGTTGGACTAACGGCACTGGAACATTGGCGGAAGTGGAGGCCTGGATGTGAAATTCCGTAGCTGCAGATAAGTTCAACGGCGTTGGAGGCATTCTACCGTGAACAGCTTGATAAACACTGTTATACACCATACCGCATTGTTCTTCGGACATTTGCCTGACTAAGGCATACAGCGATTGCTTGACGCTTACCTGTCGTAATTGGATAGGGAAGTAATTCTCAATCGCTATGTTGGTTACGTAACTGTCCGACTGCCACCATCTGTCAGAAATTGATTGTGTGTTCACTTCAGTATTACTGTGTGTGCAGTAGGCCAAAATGTGACGATATGGCATTCTGTTTTCAATAAAAAACTACAAGAACAGTTGATGGTATTACGGGAGACCGTGTGATTGCCTGTAGCGTCAACAGCCGTGAAAAAATCCACCGACATTACGACCTCAGTCACAGGAGTGTGCAAGTGCGGCTTCAGTAGTTGACATGCAGCTGGCGTAAGTCTTTCCTGAAGACGACACATCTGTGGCTCCCGACCGACATTTACTTTGTTGCGACAGTTAGATGTATACTTTTGAAATCGTACCTCCATCCAAGTAGCACACTGAATATAGATGTCAGCAAAGGTGTTTTTCGATTCAGTTTATGCACCTTCAGAATTCGATGAGTTGTCTCAACGAAGTTGGTATTATACTGTTGAAGGTGCGTCGCTGATGGTCGAAAAGCATTTGATCACTTTTGTTATTTCGGCAGCAAATGATCTCTCGCATATCGGTAAACCGTTCCGTCCGGTGTTTCGATTAATGACAGATAGGGGTGAAAACTACAAAATACTGTTATTTAGATTTTGATCTACCTTTCCACATTTCGAGTGAACATCAGATGAAAGATTAGTTGTATAACTTCAGATCGTAGCATCTACAATGACGGTAAATGGGTTAATGTCAAGGAACGAAAAACGTACCCTCTTTATGACATTACGAATTAGGTGTACACGACAAAAATGTGGTGAGAATTTGGATACACCTGCGTGATGGCAGCAGCTATTGCAGGTGAATCATCTGTCACAATGCCTACCGCCTCTCGCTTGTTAGTTGACCGGCGGAAGAACGACAGGAACTCATAAATCAAAGTCGATGTTTCGCGACTTATAAATGCAATACAAACAGGTATTGCCATAAAATTCATATCCAGCGCTACTACCTGATATAGATATAAGTTCTCGTTATTGGTTTTGTACGTCCCGTCAAAATCAACAACATCTAAAAAACGAGTTGCCAAATTCATTTGATCGGCAGTTGTGAAGAAAAAATACAACAGACAATTTTCTTCATGTAATTCGTAATCGCAAAGCCCACCAAGCGACATGATGTGAGCTTTTAATTTGGCGTAGTCACCTATCGTTTACAATATATATAGGCACATTGCTTACCAGGAAGGTTGGCCTGTGAGAACACTTTGTAGCGCATATTAAAAATATCTTGAGCATTCAGACGCTTTCCGTAAGTTTGGTAAGCAAAGTGTTTAATATCGAATGCTGCTGTCCCAGATATCAGGAGCGGTCTAACTGTTTCAAACAAAACCTCCGTTAACCTGCTCACCCAAGAATTACTGTCGTACCTCAGAGAATTGCACTCGTGATTGTGATGCACATTCCAACGAACAACAGTCCAGTAACCTTCAATAAACTTACGAAAGATGAAGGCCGGACATTGAGTGTTCATGGAAGTCCTTTATGAAAAAATATAATAACACTAATCGAATTACCTCCTTCGTCTAACCGGCTGTGAGGAACCGCTAGGTGTTCTACGTCCATGTCTCCAACATACAAATATAATATACGATTTCCGATCTCTGTGGAAATGAGAATCTCTCACCACATAATGGCAGTGCGTAGATCTTTCATAAGTTCTGATGGCGCACTTTAACGCTTCAACTGATTGGAACTCAACGAGAAACAATGTAGTCAAAAATACATCCTCCGTTTCTGTGACTACGTGAGAAACAACAGTGCTTGTACATGGCACGTTACTCTCCTCCATTATGATGATGAAAATGTAATTTTTCGACAAGTGCTGACATTTTAGAACAATTTCAAGACATAACTAACCAATTATAGCGAACTTAAAACTAGCCATTTAATTGGACGAAACGTGGTGAAAAATTTTGGAAAATGGGATGAAAAAACTTTTTTAAAGGGGTGAAAAAAGATTTATTTAAAAAACTTAGAAAAACAGCCGGTCGCTTGATGTTATTCCATAAGGTTGACATCAAATCAGCATTTGTAGTGTTACACAAAAGCCTTCAAGGACGTATACTAAGGTTTATTGAAGCTTTGACTATACGGAAATTGAGACTCCCTTTATGTGTTCAAAAACAATTTGTCCTTACACTCAACCTACCCTTGTAATACTGATCTATTGTCCAGAGTGGTAATCACATTTGCTTTTGTATATATATATATTGTAGTAATTTCAATAATTGAGATTATGAGTCAACATATGATACGGCCGAAAGTGGGTAGAGTCAGCTCTCCTTCTCGAAATGCTATAACATGAACACGTGCATACAACCATTGTCATGGAAGTCCTACTCGCTGCCTTATCACAGCATTACTGTTGTTTACGAAATTGAGAGAACGAAAAGCGAATGTCCGGCGCTCTAACCGGGTTGGTGGATATGGAGGGTTCACCTAGGAGAGTTGTAAAACCCTGATTACAAACCAATGGTGCACATGGGCTCCAGGATCCTGAAGGAATAAGTGGCGTATTAACTAATTGTTGGTCATCAGCTAACATGGGACTGCATCTCCTGACGTTGCTCTACTGCTTTGTGGACCAAACCCTTATTTCATAGGCTCCAGATGTGGCCCCCCAAGAAAATCCCCTTTTTCGGTTTGGGCACCCGGGGATTATCCTAGCCCTCACTCAAATCAATGATAACTGTTACTGGCGTCATTGTTATTGTGTGGCACATATGTATTTGGTGCCTTTTTGTACCAATGTTTATGTGTTTATGTAAATAAATAAACTGTATGTTTTGCGATTACGAAGTTGGATACAACTGTCTAGTTTTTGGGTGGCACTATTGTTTATATCTTAATATCTGAGATGAAAATCTGTCAAGAGTAGTAGTAGCCTGTACTTTCTCAGTGTTGAAGGATTTCTTGCTTCATATTATTACATTTTGTAAAACTTGTTCATTAGTGTCTTAAGAAATCTTCAAGCACAATATTGTCAGATTGTAGGCTTATTTTTTTGTTCTACGTATCGAGTTAAAACTAATATCAAACAAACTGTTCGCCTGTACTATCCAATACTGATCTTACTTGTCTAGATAATTAATACTCTGTTGGGATGTTGAAACGTTTTAAATGGGGATATTTGTATGTTTAGAATGTAATTCTCATCATAGAAACCATGTTGCACTAAAGAACTGAGATAAACATTGATTGGAAGTTTCGTTTTTCACAAGCACCTCTGTGCTCGTCCATCATCGCCAGTTTAGTATACTCGAGAGATAATTACTTCTCTCTGTAAAATGGAAAAATAATTTTTGACACTAGTCACTAGTGATCACATGATGACTTTTTTAGTAATCTGGTCCTGTGGGGATTGTTTATTCAGGTGGTTTCCACTACAAACTGATAAATATCAGTTGCGTAGTTTTTCATTTATATTTCAAATATTTTGATTGCATGTTTACTTATCCTGTTTTTTGATATGTGATAAAGCAATAGAT